GCATCCAAGGAGAAGATAAATATTGCGCGACTTCCTTAGAGTCTATGGTTGATTATGCAACTACTAAGCTAGGAAAAAAAATTGGACACCGTCTCTACTTATGTAGAGAAGGATAATAAGATGCAAAAGTACGATTTTATGGGTGTTAAAAAGGTACCATGTAAGGGAGCAATAATATGTCACAAGATGTTTTTTGCTTGTGGTGTATATTATTGTCACAAGACCGAGACAACAATACCTTACATGGTCTCATTGGTAGGCGCCGATGGTACAAAGGTTAAGGCCGCGGCTATATGTCACGTTGATACGTCGAAATGGAACCCTAAGCACTTGGCCTTCCAAGTGCTTAAGGTTGAGCCAGGGACTGTGCCCGTTTGCCATTTCCTTCCGGAGGATCACATTGTTTGGGTGTCCAAATAAGTTATATATTATTTTTTATAGTATTTATTATATGTCATATAATTTAATTTAATTAAATTACCTTTGTTATTTGGTGTGCATACAAAAAAATAAGTGAAACGCTAAACATCGCCCGCAAATTACCATATAAAGCCCACAAATATGATTTGGTGTGACCATTATGCCCATTTTCTAAAATTGAAATAATCTCGGTTTAAAAAATGTGGAGCCGTACTGGCTCGCCGGGGGAGACCGGAGGGCAGGCCGGAGATGCGGGGGACGCCGTAGGTACGTCGTCGTCGACGGAAAACGAGGTAAGTCACCGTTAAAATTCACGGTTTACCGTCGGAGTGGCTCCGGCGCCTAGGATGGACGCCCAATCCGTAGCCTGGACGTCCAAGCCAGACGCCAGAACCACCAGAGTGGCGTCCAACCCAGACGCCCAAACCACCAGACTGGCGTCCTGGCCAGGCGCCACTCTACTGGCTGAGGCGGCCCTGCCAAGCGCCAGTCCAGTGGCTGTGGCAGCCCTGGCAGACGCCACCCTTATAAATTAATTTTTTTTCTTTTTTGATTTTGTTGTTTTTTATTTAATTTTTTTTTTTAAAAAAAAATCGAAAATGATTTTTTAAAAAAATTCGAAATGGGTTTTTTTAAAATTAATTTTGAAAATTCGAATTGGGTTTTTATAAAAATTAAGTTTGATTATATATAATTATGCTTTTTTTTGTGTTAATTCTGTGTAAATATAGAAATTAAATGTATTATCCGTTAAATGTATTTATTGTAATATATAATTGATGCAGGAATATGGTGGAGACGGAAATGATTACAGTGGGATATTTGGACATGATGGTCCATTCGAAGAAGCTCAACAGACGATTGATTGGGCAAAACAGGTTGCAATTGCAGCTGGATTTTGCTTGGTAGTAGTAACTCATAAATCTCAACGGGATGGTAGAATGGAATGCATTTTGAGATGTGACCATTATCGCAAAAGAGAAGAAAGAGATTTTCGTACAGCCACTCGGTTTGATACAAAGCGGAAAGGTTGTGGGTGTGAGTTCAGAGTAAAGGTTCGACAACTACGGAGTCGTGACGGTTGGGAAGTGATTGGTTACTCTAAATGGGGGTATCACAACCATGAGATGATAGTATATGAAGAGGGTCATCGACAACTGAGCGGCTTAAGTCCTGCTGCGAAACTAGTTGTGAAAGAAATGAGTGATGCTCAAGTCAAGCCTGCTAAAATATTAGCATCTGTGTTAGAGAAATTTTTCAGAAGACCATCCAAACCGAAGACACATCTACAACGTCAGACAGCAACTCAGGTTTGAACGGTCAGAGGGAAGGAACCCTATACAGCAGCTGCTACACCAGGCACAATCACGTGGTTACCTGTTCTGGTTTGATTCTGATGAAGATACAGCGGAGGTGACTCATCTTTTCCTTGTGCATCCTGATTGTGCTGATATGATCAAGTCTTGGCCATTTGTGATTTTGATCGACTCAACGTACAAGACAAACAAGTACAAGTTCCCACTGGTTGAGATCATGGGGATGACTCCAACGAACCAGAACTTTCTGATTGGTCATGCAATCATCAAGGATGAGACGGCTCCAAGTTATTATTGGGTGTTGGAGAAGCTGAGAAACTACATCGGGCCTAATGTTCATCCAGCAGCCATCGTCAGCGACTGTGAGGGCGATCTCTTTGCCCCCATAGCAGAGCTGTTTCCCGAATCGAACCACTTATTGTGCACATGGCACATCAACAACTGCGTGAAAGTGAAAGCCTACAACCTTTTCAAGAAGAATTTGGAAATGGCAGAGAGATTGGTGAATGGTAAGTGGCGGAAGATCCTACAGGCTACCACAGAGGAAGCGTATGAGCGAGCATTGGCTAACTTCAGGGATTCATACCAGTGGTGTCCGGCACTGGTGGACTATGTGATGCAGCAATGGGTCCCTCACAGGGAAAAGTTTGTCAAATATTGGACAAACCAGGTACTTCATTTTGGGAACACTACAACATGTAGATTTGAGAGCGCTCATAGAGCTACCAAGGACTGGATTGATTCATCGACCGCTGCTTTGGATACACTGTTCGATAGACTTAACAAGTCAATTGAAACTCAGAAGAACGACATCAGGAACTCTCTAGAGGACTCCAGACGACGACATGGTACGATGTATAACCATTTTATATTTAAGATTCTCCATGGTCGTGTGTCGCATTACTGCTTGGGGTTGATTCTCACTGAGCTGAACAGGGTGAGGGACTTGGCTGACGAAGTGTATGCTCGGTGTGGGTGTGCTATTTCAGTAACTCATGGATTACCTTGCGCATGCACCATTCACCGCGTTATTACAGAAGAAAGGGCGTCGTTACATGTTGATCAGGTCCATTCATTCTGGAGGACGCTTGTTATTGGTGAGCATGCAGACACTCAAACGGCCGACCGTGAACAGGAGGAGTTGGAGCAGTTTCGTTCGATGTACGACCGAGTGTCCTCCAGCCATCCTTCTATTATTCGTGACGCTACTCATGTACTTCATGACATGTTCCACCTGTCTACCTTAGATTATGAGGAACCCGAAGGAGTTGACCGTCCTCGAGGTCGACAACGGCGGAACAAGAGTGCGTTTGAGTATATCCGTGGTCGTGGTCGTGCTCGTGGTCGGACATCGTCATCTAGTCATAGTCAATCTTCATCGTCTGTGAATATGCCCCTGAGAACTGGTACGTTTTGGTTGTTTTTATTGCACATAGTTTTAAAGTGTTACTCCTGCCTTCTTAACTGTCTATAATTATATGGTGAATAGGAAGAAACGATGTTGATCAGTTTCCGTACAAGGAAAGGATACCTGCGATCATCATGTCGTACTTGGAAGGGTGGAATGATGTAGTCGGAGATGGTAACTGCGGATTCCGGGTCGTGGCTGATGTTTTTCAAATGGGCAAAGACAACTACGGTTTGGTGCGTCAGTTGATGTACAGCGAAATTGCCTCTAACCGAAATGTTTATCGTCATGTGTACCAGGATGACTTGGATGGCGCTCTGCGGCGTATCCGGTGGGGAGGTGGACCTTGCGGCCAAAATCATTATTTTGACTGTACATCAACTCCGTGTTCAATTTCGCTGTACATCAACTCCGTGTTCCCAAACACCTAGCGCCTCGGTGTACAGTGCAGCCCTGTCCACCGCCAACAACTCCGCCAGCAAATCTGCCTGATCCGCATCAGCCACAGCACAAAGTTGTTTACCCTCAACACGAATCCCCAGAATGGCCTCGACGTCATGTAACATGATCGTCATCTCACCGAACGGAAGGTGGAAAGAGTTTGTATCCGGCTGCCATCGCTCAATGAAAGCCGTGATCAGCGTACTGTCAATATTATCGTGCATGGTGGCAGGAACGTGATTCACCCCAGTGCCCTCCAGTCGCTCGAACATCTCGCTCTCCGCCGGCCAAGCCTCAGCCCATGTACGCAAAAAGCTACAAGTCTTTTCCCGGGTATGACATTTCAACAACCCCGTAACTGAAGGCCTCTCCTGGTCCTCCCAAATACGGGCAGCTATGTGTCCTAGAAAGCTAGGAATCACACTCCCGTCAACAGGCCCACCGGGCACCTCACTCCTAACAACCCAAGAATCATTACCGGCCCTCGACCGTTTCCTGCTTGCCCCAGATACAGTGGACGCAGATGATGTGCCAGATCTACTAACAAACCTACCACCCCTACCCTTACGCACCTCCACCATATGTGTCTCGTACATGTCATCAACCCTCTGACTGAATGGACCGTAATCATCATATGGTCCACTGCCATTGTCCACATCCTCATCCTCATCTGCGCCCTCCTCCTGCTCCTCCTCCTGGTCACCCTCCTCAGCATCATCATCGTCATCGTCATCCTCATCCCGACGGTGGATCCGTTCTCTACGAGCTGAGGCCGAAATACCACGGGATCTGACATGTCTATGCCCCGACCTCTCCACTGAATAGCTTCTACTAAGAAGCTCTACATTCTTCCCCGCACCATGACGACCCAGTGAATTCTACACAAAATTTTAAAATATATAAACATACAAAAATTTATACGAAAAATAGCTACCACTCCCAAATCAAATAAACTAAAAACATACAAATAATTGTAAACAAAATATAAATATAGAAAAAATACAACAAAATTGAAAAAATTTATAAAAATAAACAACAAAATATAAAAACAATTCAAAAATATATTACACAAAAAAAAAAACAATATTTTAAAACAAATATATATAAAAAAAGGGGGGGGGGGCGCCTTGGCTGGACGCACAGCCAGCGGTGGTGGCGCTTGCTGCAGACGCCGCCACCAGTGGGCTGGCGCCTGGGCTGGACGCCAAAGCCACGGCTGCGACGCCTTGAATAAACGCCACAACCGTGGCTATGGCGTCCAGCCCAGGCGCCAGCCTACTGGTGGCGGCGTCTGCAGCTGGCGCCACCACGGATTGCTGGGCGTCCAGCCAGGGCGCCCCACCTCCGTCACGGCGGTCTTTCCTTTTTTTTTTTTTTTTTTTTACAAATTGTACCTTGCCTCCTTGGGACCTCCTTCCCTCCGCCGCCGCCGCCAATTCCTTGCCTTGCCGCCTCGACATTGCCGTTGTTTGAATTTTTTTTTTGTTTAGAGAGGTTCAAAGAAGATGAGCGATGAGAGTGTGAGTGATGAGAGTGTGAGTGTTTTTTTAGGTTAAGGGCAATATTGTCAAACCAAGTGAATTTTGTGGGCTTTATGTAGTAATTTGTGGGCGATATTTAACAAATCCCAAAAATAAATAGCACTTGTTTATTTGGTAATTTAATGTCCCTCTTTGGCATGATTGTTGTACTTATTCTTGGCGATATGATGTAATTTCATGGATATATATGTATGGATTACAGATAATATAATTTTAATGTAAAATGTACTATTATAGTTCTTATATAGGTTTTTTTTTTAATTTTTTTTTATAATATGCTTTTATTGAAAAACAATAGTTTAGATAATTAGAAAGGTAACTAAGGGGTGGGATTGTGATTATTAAATATACTCGTAGAAGATAAGTTGGGTGAAAAATGAACTAATGATAACATAAGTAAATGTATTGAATTAATTCTAGGTTATTTTGTTATCTAACCTTGGATACAACCATGAAAGATTAAATCAAAGAATGTCACAAGTGGCATGAGTGATTTCTATATTTAATTTACAGAATATATATGTTTATAAAAATAATCGAATTGCACTTGGTTACCTAAATAGATAGATAAATAAATAATATTAGTATGAATTGGTCATCCTTATTATTCTCTCCATAAGTCTTAGATTGTTTTCCCTAAAATCAACTAATATTATTCTAACAATTACATTTGTAACGTTTTTGTGAGCTAGATCTCATCATAGTTACATACTACCACGTGTGTGATCAAATTGAGGAAATTTTAGTTACATTTGTGTGAACTAAATTACAACTCAGTCTTAGTCATGCATTATCGTAAAACTTTCCGCAAATAAACATATGGTTAAAAATCACTCAATACAACTTTTTCACGCCTTTAAATACCCCATTTAAATTCACTTCTTACCAAAAAACATAAATTAAAAAGTTTCTAATTAGCTTATTATCACAATTATATATATATATATATATAGAAAAAATTTGAAAACAAAAAAAGGAAGAGTTTCACCATTCTTTAAATCAATCTTCGTATATCAATTATTATTCAGTTTGAATAATTTCCGATGGAGTCATATATCCTACAGATTGTCACTATTCTTTATGTAAGTGACAAAATCTTTATTCAGATTAAAAAAAAAAAAAAAGAATTTATATATTTTCTTTTCACTTGACTAATGCGTTTTTTTTACATTGTTTTGATTTTTGATTTATGCAGGTAGCAATAATAGCCACCGAAGCAACCTTTATAATTCCAGGAGGACATTTTGGAAAAAAAGGTATATACAAGTACTATTTAAGATTTTACTTGGTAGTTTACTTCAAACTAGCTAATTTAGTAATTTTACTCTCCACATTTTCGATCATAACCTTTCATATTTTGCCAACATTCAATAGAGAAACAAAAAAGGATTTAAGCTCTTTGAATACAAAGACACCTCCATAAAATTATTAATGATAGTAATATTTAATTTATTAGTACGTGATATACTTTACATTTAAGATATTATATCTAACTCTTCATATAAATCTTTATATGCTATGTCAAACTTCAAGGTTATGCAAATTTCGGTGGTAACTTGAACTTTAATAAGGAAGCTCACATTTCTGGAGGGTTTAACTTTGGTGGACGCAAGGAAGTTTATGGAGCAGGTAAAATAAAAGGACAAACAGAAGCAACAAGTGAAGGTGACGCACAATCGGGTGGTAATAATTTGGGTTTAGAAAAACAAATTAGAGGCTCAGGAGGATTAAACTTTGGTGGATCTAGTCAAAATCAAGGAGCAGTTAAAGGTCAAACACAAATGAGAGTCAACTTTAACTTTGATAAAAAGAGTAAAAGTTCAGGAGGCTTCAATTTTGGAGGAAATAAGGATCTTTCAGGTGAAGGGAAAGCTCAAGGGTTAGGTAAAGGCCAAACACCATCTGGCAACAACTATAACTTTAAAAAGGATGTTCATACATCTGGAGGGTTTGATTTTGGAGGAAGGAAAGAAAAAAATTATCCTCACAACCATGCAATGGGGGGACCACAAAGAGTAGAAAAAAGCCAATCACATTTCGGTGGTAACTTTAAATTTAACAAGGAAGCTCACGGTTCTAAAGGGTTCAATTTCGGTGGACAAAAGGAAGATTTTGGAGCAGGTAACACAAAAGGACAAACTGAAGCAACAAGTAAAGGGGAAGCGCAGTCGGATGCTAATTCGAGCTTAGATAAACAAGTTAAAGGCTCAGGAGGATTAAACTTTGGTGGATCTAGCTCGACAACCGGTCAAAATCAAGGAGCGGTTAAAGGTCAAACACAAATGGGAGCCAACTTTAACTTTGATAAAAAGAGTAAAAGTTCAGGAGGTTTCAATTTCGGAGGAAATAAGGATCTTTCAGGTGAAGGAAAAGCTCAAGGGTTAGGTAAAGGCCAAACACAATCGGGCAACAATTATAACTTTAAAAAGGATGTTCATGCATCTGGAGGGTTTGATTTTGGAGGAAGGAAAGAAAAAAATTATCCTGACAACCAAGCCATGGGGGGACCACAAGGAGTAGAAAAAAGCCAAGCACATTTCGGTGGTAACGTTAAATTTAACAAGGAAGCTCACGGTTCTAAAGGGTTCAATTTCGGTGGACAAAAGGAAGATTTTGGAGCAGGTAACACAAAAGGACAAACTGAAGCAACAAGTAAAGGGGAAGCGCAGTCGGATGCTAATTCGAGCTTAGATAAACAAGTTAAAGGCTCAGGAGGATTAAACTTTGGTGCATCTAGCTCGACAACCGGTCAAAATCAAGGAGCATTTAAAGGTCAAATACAAATGGGAGCCAACTTTAACTTTGATAAAAAGAGTAAAAGTTCAGGAGGCTTCAATTTTGGAGGAAATAAGGATCTTTCAGGTGAAGGAAAAACTCAAGGGTTAGGTAAAGGCCAAACACAATCGGGCAACAACTATAACTTTAAAAAGGATGTTCATGCATCTGGAGGGTTTGACTTTGGAGGAAGAAAAGAAAAAAATTATCCTGCCAACCATGCAATGGGGGACCACAAGGAGTAGAAAAAAGCCAGGCACATTTTGGTGGTAACTTTAAATTTAACAAGGAAGCTCACGGTTCTAAAGGGTTCAATTTTGGTGGACAGAAGGAAGGTAACACAAAAGGACAAACTGAAGCAACAAGTAAAGGGGAAGCACAGTCAGATGCTAATTCGAGCTTAGGTAAACAAGTTAAAGGCTCAGGAGGATTAAACTTTGGTGGATCTAGCTCGACAGCCGGTCAAAATCAAGGAGCGGTTAAAGGTCAAACACAAATGGGAGCCAACTTTAACTTTGATAAAAAGAGTAAAAGTTCAGGAGGTTTCAATTTTGGAGGAAATAAGGATCTTTCAGGTGAAGGAAAAGCTCAAGGGTTAGGTAAAGGCCAAACACAATCGGGCAACAATTATAACTTAAAAAAGGATATTCATGCATCTGGAGGGTTTGATTTTGGAGGAAGGAACGAAAAAAATTATCCTCACAACCATGCCATGGGGGGAACACAAGGAGTAGAAAAAAGCCAATCACATTTCGGTGGTAACTTTAAATTTAACAAGGAAGCTCACGGTTCTAAAGGGTTCAATTTAGGTGGAGACAAGGAAGATTTTGGAGCAGGTAACACAAAAGGACAAACTGAAGCAACAAGTAAAGGGGAAGCACAGTCAGATGCTAATTCGAGCTTAGATAAACAAGTTAAAGGCTCAGGAGGATTAAACTTTGGTGGATCTAGCTCGACAATCGGTCAAAATCAAGGAACAGTTAAAGGTCAAACACAAATGGGAGCCAACTTTAACTTTGATAAAAAGAGTAAAAGTTCAGGAGGCTTCAATTTTGGAGGAAATAAGGATCTTTCAGGTGAAGGAAAAGCTCAAGGGTTAGGTAAAGGCCAAACACAATCGGGCAACAATTATAACTTTAAAAAGGATGTTCATGCATCTGGAGGGTTTGATTTTGGAGGAAGGAAAGAAAAAAATTATCCTGACAACCATGCAATGGGGGACCACAAGGAGTAGAAAAAAGCCAAGCACATTTCGGTGGTAACTTTAAATTTAACAAGGAAGCTCACGGTTCTAAAGGGTTCAATTTCGGTGGACACAAGGACGATTTTGGGGCAGGTAAAACAGAAGGACAAAATTAAGCCAAGCGGCAGGGGCAACTTAAGGGACTTGGCATGGCCAATCTAGCTACAATGAACAATGAACTCGATCAAAGTTGAGAAATAAGTTTGGGGTTTTTGCATCCAATAATTTTAGTCGAAATGTTGAAGATTCAAGTTTAAGCCAAGGGTTGAGATAGATAAGCATTAGATTAAATCCAAAAGGAACATGAATTCATAAAGTTATAACTATTGATAATGTCATTTTTTATGAGATTGTGAGCTACCTTAATTATTCAATGAGGGTAGCTAGTTAAATTGCATGTGACCACTTTTATGTAAGAGATCGAGAAATGAAATTATTATTGTTTTTTTTCCTTCTTGTACACTATCTTTTTAATTGAATGTTTATTAAATGTCAATAGTATATGTTAAATGACGTGCTTGTTGTATCGAATAATGCATGCATTTTGAACTAAATTAATGAACTTATTTATCATGATGTGTACTCCATGATTTTCACCCCATTTAACTCACTCTAACACTCTTTCCACATAACAAACCAAAATTGGCCAATTGCAAGGCCATTGCTGGCGATAAAATCATGTTTATTTGGATTGGTTGGGAATTGTTTGGGATTTTTTAAGTGAAAACACCTATTCTAAACATAATAATAATAATAATAATAATAATAATATGAATAACAATAACAACAACAACAACAACAATAGTAACAACAATAACAACAACAACAATCACAATATTAATAATAACAACAACTACAATAATAATAGCAGCATCAGCAGCAACAACATCAGCAACAGCAACAACAACAAGAACAACAACAACAACAATAATAATAGTAATAGAATAATAATGATAATAATTATTATTTATAGTAATAGTAATTATTATTTATATTAATAATAACAACAACTACAATAATAATAGCAGCATCAGCAGCAACAACATCAGCAGCAGCAACAACAACAAGAACAACAACAACAACAATAATAATAGTAATAGAATAATAATGATAATAATTATTATTTATAGTAATAGTAATAGAAGTAGTAGTAGTAGTAGTAATAATAATAATAATAATAATAATAATAATAATAATAATAATAATAACAACAATTGCATTTTGCTTTGGTTTTACAACCCCTGGTGTGTAAAATCAGAGAGACTTTTGATGTATGTCTTCAGACTATTGATGACACGTTGGTGGGGAAGGTTCTGCAGTTGATTATGGAGGATGGGTCTCGTTCTGGGTTACGTCTTAATGTGGAAAAAACTGATGTTTTCTGGGCTACTGATGACCCTCAAAGCAGGCTTATGGGTGTCTTTCCACCTAATATTGCTCGACCTTTATGAGGTGTCAAGTTACTTGGTGGTCCCGCTAGTTCCAATTCTGGTTTTAGTGGTGAGCTTGTGATGAAAAGGGTGACCAAGACCATTGCTCTTATGGATAAGGTTTCTATGCTAGATAATCCTCAGTGTGATGAGCTGTTGTTACTTAAGGCATGTACTGGAGTTTCTAAACTCTACTTCGCATTGCGTACTTGTCCTCCTAGTACTTTTGAGGCGACCCAGCGCACTTTCGATGGGGCTCTTCGATCTTCCTTGGAGCGTATTGTTACTGCTTCGGGGCCTGGGTTTGGCGATTGGAGTGGCGGCTTGCCACCTTACCATTTGCGTAATTGCGTTTGGAGGGCTTGGAGTTTATTCTGCAGGTGATGTTCGTCAATATGATTTTCTTGCTTCTCGGTTGCAATCTGCTGGGTTGCAAACACAACTTCTACGACATGCTAGCATTGTTGGTCTTGGATGAGCCTTTGAGGATGCATTGGGTCTGTTTAGTGGAACAATGAAGTCTGATATTTTAGGTAATCCTAGTGAAGTCACTGCCCCTAAACTCATGAAGAAATTGGTAGATATGTATTTCACTACGTTTACCGCTCTGCCGTATCTGCTTATTCTTTAACTCCTCTACAATCAGCATTATGAAAATCACTACAAGAAGATCACACCTTTATAAGTCCCTATTTCGGGGTTGGGTCAGAAGATGATTGCCAAGACTTATCGCTGGTTGTTGTGCTACCTGTTGGGTGTTCCATTGTTCTCTATTACGACACCATGCTATGCTTGTTTAAGGATTTTTGCTGGGGATATTTTCGGTGATCAAGCGGTGTCATGTGCTGGTACTGTGGGCATTAAACATCGGCATAATGTTGTTTGGGATACCCTTGTTGATGTTTGCTATCGATAAGAGATTTCAGGTAGAAAGGAGGTGGACATTGGGTTATTTGGAGGGAACGACGGGGCCCTCAGACCTGCATATGTGTTACTCTATTCATGGGATCGTGGTCGCGATGTCTGTATTGACTTGACAGGGTCTTCTCCATTATTGACACAATCTGGGCTCTCTAACTTTGTTCTTGGACGAGTAGTGGCTAATGCGGCCAATCGAAAGCAGGTCAAGTACGAATTCTGTTGTCGAGCAATTGGATATGGCTTCATTCCTTTCTCTTTCTCTTTCTCTTTCTCTTGGGAAGTTAGAAAAGGAGGTTGTTGCATTGCTGAAGCGGATCCAAATGTTCTCGAAGACTCAGGACATTGGGGCACATGCTGCAACTCATATTTTTACTAGGATCGGCTTTTCTATAGCTAGAGGAGTGGGGGCCCAGATTGTATCTCAGCTGCCCACTAATTTTCTATAGGTTGTATAACTTTATCTGTTTTTGAGATATAATAATAATAATAATAATAATAATAATAATAATAATAATAATAATAATAATAATAATAATAATGAGGCAGATATATATTTCAAAAATGTTACCGCATCTAAAAAAAAGTAGTTTCAGTTTATATAACAAAAGTATGGAATATTTGTCAGGAATTGAATATTATGACTTTTCAGCGGTCCGTTCAAAATATAACGACCTTTGAATTATCCCGGAATATTACGACGACCGTTGCCCCTGATATGCCATAAATAGGATAAAAAATTATCTGCCTGTTAAACAGGTTAACCTAGACACGTGGCACGTTTGGATTGGTAAAGATTTAAAAATGAATTTAAAATTTAATTATTTTTTTAAAAAGGAAAAAAATAGATAAAACCCAGCCCCCTTCCCGTATCTGCAGACCCCACCCCGTCCCCGCCGGCCAACCGACGCCGATACAACACCCCACCTCCTCACCGCCGGTTGTCGTTGATAATCCCCCCTCATTCATCACCATTTCCGCCGCTTGTCGGGTTCAAATCATATCAACCTCCTCCCTCCGCTAACCCATCGCACCCTCCCACGACATCGAGTAACAACCCTCTTCCAGCGCTTCCTCCCCCTACGTCGTACTTTTTTAATGACCCCCTCGTCGAAACCATGCCCCACCTCAAAGCCCCCAAGGTCATGTCCTTAATTTGATCGGTGTTGGGTTTTTTCAGGTGTAGAATGAAGGTTATTAGGAGGTTGCAGATTGCATTTAAAGGAAAGGAGGAGGTGACGGTTCAAGGGTAGGGGTCGGGTGGCGCTTGCGTGGGGTTTTAGGGTGGTCAGGCTGACGGGGGTGGGAGGGTGGCTCCGACATAAGGTGGTGGTTGTGGGTTTAATTTTTTTTATAAGAAATTTGTAAAAAAAAAAAAAAAAAAAAAAAAAAAAAAAAAAAAAAAAAAAACCTTACCTATTACAAAGTGACAAGTGACACTCTTAACCCATTAAACAGGTCACCAACCGATTGCGTCCCATTTATGGCACGTCAGGGTCAAAGGTCGTAATATTCCAAGATAATTCAAAGATCATTTTATTTTAAGCGGACCGTTGAAAGGTCATAATATTCCTAACAATTTCCCGTAAGTATTTACAAATCAGAGTATATTATTAATAAGGACCATAATAGAACTCTTTTGACCTTTTCCTTTATTTTAAACAAAATCGAGTATATACAAAGTAGATAACATAAATTGAAGTTTTTATCAAGCACCTGTAATATTGATTTTGTATTAAGTTTATATATGTGAAATATATGTGCAACTTTACTTTTATGTTCTTATGTTACTAAATGAATCTTGTCATGCGTTTATAAACTTAGTTTGATATTATTCTAGGTTAACATAAATACAAAAAAAATACGGAGCTGTAACTTTATTAACGTTCTAGTAGCTTGTGCTTTAATAAGCTTGAGTCTTAGAGCCTTAGGGCCTGTTCTCATTAAACTAAATTGAGCTGAACTGAAATGAATATTTTATAAGAGAAATAAATTAGAAGTTAAACTGAGCTGAACTGAATTTCAATGTATGAGAACAGACCCTGAGTGGATTTTAATAAGGGTAAATTCAAGTTTTTTTTTTTTTTGAGATAAATATGTGAATGTATCTTCTCTTACAATTTAATTTTTTTTTATTTTTTTATTTATTTTTTAAATGAAAAAGGAAAATAACAAAGTGACACAGAAATCAATGCATAAAATTGTGAGAGGAGATAAACTAGAATGTTAATCTCTGAGATCAACTTGGACTCCATCGATCATTTAATAATGCCCATTGTTATTATTATGATACTAAATTACATCTTCATTAAATACCAACAAATGCATGCAAAATGATTTGTTGGTATCACCAGAACTCTATGTTGGTATTTAAACAGATACCATCTTGATGTCTTAGTAATACGAACAAGCCAAGCGTCATTAGAATCCTCTAGAACTCGAATTATTAGAGCCTGTTTCGGGTGAAAACAATGGGACCTTGCCGAAGGTCCGCTGAAATGGAGAAGACTGGATTCGGTCCAAGTTATGTTGGGCCGAAGGTTTCCTGCACAGTAAACACACGTAAACTAGCCTCGGGGGTGTTGCCGAGGAAGGCCCCTCCGATGCTAAAGTCAGTACAATGTGTAAAAGGAAGACACTATGCAAGAGAGTTTGTAGCTTGAGGCTTTTTGTGGAATATATCTGAATGCAAGAATGAGCATATCAACCAGAATCTGAATATGAACGTGAATATGATGGCTTTTATACCTCATCATACATGGTGAGGTTGGGCCTTAGCCCAATTGGCATGCTTTGTGGGCTGACCTTTGACTTTTGTGCAATTGGAGGGTTGAACCTTGACCTTGGGCTTTTAATTGGATCATTTAGTGCTTAGGCCCAATTTTGACTAAATTGGACCCAAACAACTTGCCCCCCAGACCCGATTTGGAAGGATGACGGGTCGGGTTTGATTTAATTCAGAAAAGGAGGGAAGTAAATGATTTAATTGATCCAAAAATTTGAATTTAAACCGTAATTAATGAGATAACAACGGTTAATGATTGCGGAAGTTGGACGGATAATGGGCAGTTTAATCACAAGATCATGCGTTTAATGGTTACTTAGTGGGTATTTAAGAGAAATTAAAGCACAGACTCTTCGTATCCCGTACCTGGAGATATAAACAGAGGCGCGTCATCCTCCCCACTTATTCACCAACACAAACCCAGAATTCTTCGAGAGAGAAACCAAGAACCCGCATCAAAACTTCGCAAATTCCCCGAGCATTGAGCTTAGAAACTGAGACTTGCCACTACGAACTCGTAAATCGGCAACTTTCGCTTCAGATTAAGGTAAATTCCTTTGATTTCAGTTTATTTTTCTTCGAATTCGAACTCCTTCCCCTTTTCTTTCGACTTTTCTCTTCGAAATAATCAATGGCAAGAGGAGTTAGAGGTAGAGCCCGTGCTCCAAGAAGAGCAAGGCCGATTCCCGATCCTAGGAACAGGATTGGGACCTGGAATGGTCAAAGGCCGGAGTCTGACCCTGCTGAAGGGATTAGGGCGACTCCCCTTTCCTCGGCTCCTCCTCAAAGAACGGATGAGCCGAGCGCTTCTGGACGGGATGATGAAGTTCCCGCTGTCCTTTGGGATATCCTCCCTGGGTTTTCAGAGTGGGAGAATGCCGAAGTCGCTTCGGCCATGATAAAGAACCGCCCCTACTCATGGTGGGTAGAGAACGCCGATCAATATCGATTTGCCGAGCAAATTGAGTTGCATTACGGCATTTTTGAAGCTGATGGATATTGGTGCCGAATGCCCTCAGCATCCGATAGAATCCATCGTCCACCCCCGGGGTATGTGGGGGTGTACACGAGACAGCTTCAGTACGGGCTGAGGTTCCCTTTGGACGTTTTCGTCCGAGACTTGCTGATCCATTACAACATCTCTCTATGTCAGCTAACCCCCACCAGCATCCGAAGGGTGATGACATACTTATGGGTCTGCAAGTTCTTCAAGTACGTTCCGAACCTGCACTGCTTCAAAAAGCTCCATCGGCTAGTGCCAAATATTCAAAGTGGGCACGGAAGCCATGGTTCTGGGTGGTACCGGATTGAGTCCCGGCCCCAATACTTGACCATGTGGCCAAACGACTCTTCAGACAAGGACTGGAGAGGTCAATGGATTTGGGTTAGGGCACCCACAGATCCGGGCCACCCCTGCGTCTTCAGCGCTCCCCGGTGCCTAGCTGAGCCTGATCCCGAAATGGGAAGTCTAGGTCCCCCCGCAGATAACGGGGCGGATCCGAACCTGGATCAGCAACATATCTTCGGCAAGCTGCCGAACCGGGGGGGGAGTGGTCGAATGCAGCATATCCCGGAGACTTGGCTCCCCGATACGCATTACGTTTTCCAAGAGAACATGCTAGCAGCTGTTGGCCTCAGCCGAAAGTTTAAGGATGGTAAGCTTCTTCGGCTGGGGCCGAGGCTTTTAACTACCTCTTTTTCTTCTCTCGCTTTGCTTTTTTATGCTGTGCCGATCTATCTGAGCTAAACTTTCCCCTTTCCTTTTTTCAGAGCGGGACGAGACCAACGTTGGCATTAACTACGCTCGTCTTGGTGTCAACCGAGAGCGAGTTGTAACTGAACGGGCCCCGTCTATCACTGAGCCGAGGCATAGG